AATGTAAACCATAGGATAATCTTGTAAACAGTCAGATCTTAAAGGAGGCAGTACATTTACCCAGTTCCTTCTCCCAAATTTACCACTTACAAGTGAGTGAGGAAGCAAAGACAGAGCAGGTGTCTTGCGAAAATATTCCTTTGTTTGGCAAGATGAAGCATAGAGGAGGAAGTTCTCCTTCAGCCATCTTAAGGAAATAGGATCATAAAATATAATACTTTTCTGAGCTGATGTACTTTGGGAAGATCCCAAAGGAAAATATGGTTAATTCAGAGATGTGGGAAATACATGATTCAAGTGGTTCATCCAAACAAAATGAGTTTGTTTTTAAATCTCAGTTTCTTATTAGAGCAAGTTTCTTAACAATCCCCTAGTTCAGTAGTCAGCAAATGTGGATAGTTAAAATCAAATGTGTAGTGTTCCCAAAGCCATTTGTTATCAGTGTAGGTACTACATTTGCATTTTTCTAATATTATCTGTTGAATATATTGATATTAGTGTCCATTCACTTAAGTTATTGTATTTTTTCAATGAAATATAGATGGTATTGCAGTTAGAATTACACAATAACAATGGTCTTATCCATGTCACAATTGAGGATCTGAGCTATATTTGCAAATTTCACCTCTAATGTGTATAGTGGTAAGAAACTAGATTAAAAATGACTATTCTATTACAGATATATTTCACAATTTATATTGCTGAAATATCTGAAATCCAGAGAGACTAAATTTGGTGACATACCAAAGTTAATGATATAAAAAAAATACATGTTAGAAACACTAGAGACTAATCAGAACTTTTGTAATATAGCAATATTTTTGTATATAATGGCCCTTTACCATCATAACCTCCATAACCAGTCTTAGATATTCTACAAGATACTAAAAGTAAGAGATATTTAAATGCTGTCATACCCTGTTCAGATCATGAAAAATTACTACCATGCATTTATTTTTAATTGTGACTTTGGTGGTGGTCTTCTTATCTTCTCTCTGTGACCCTGTACTACTAAATCATATACAGTGTTGTAAACCACTTTGACTCAATACAAAATGCTACAATTTTTAATTTATTGAGTTAACATTGGTTTACAATGTTGTCTATGATTCAGAGGTATAGGATCTCATCCTTCAGGTGTCCTTAACACATGACATCTACCACTAAAACACCCATACTCTTGACTATTGTAAATAGAGCTGCAATACACATAGGAGTGCATGTATCTCTTTGAGTTAGTGTTTTTGCATTCTGAGCGGCGTAGCTATGTAGGAGTGGAATTGCTGTATCATGGTACATCTATTTTAAATATTTAGATAAGCCTTCATACTACTTTTAATAGGGGTTGGACCAGTCTACCTTTCCACCAGCAGTGAAAGAGGGCCCATATCATTGCCAAAACCTATAGTTTCTGAACTTTTTTTTTTTTTAAATATTAAATTTTATTTTTATATTCCCCCATACAATTGCAAACGCCCCATTCTGACCCCAATCCTTCCCCTCCCGCCCCCCACCCCCAAAAAGTGTCTCTGGTTCATAGTTTTTTTGTTGATTTTGATTTTCACTTTCTTATATTCATTTTCCTGGTCCCTTATTTAAGTTTTCTAGATTCCTGCTATGAGTGAGACCATCCGGTATTTTTCTTTTTCTTGACAGTCTCTCAGATGTGATTGGGTACCTCGTTTTGGTTTTAATTTTCATTTCCCTGATGATAAATAATGGTAAATATCTGTTCAGGTGTCTATTGTCTATGCATATGTCTTCTGTGGAAATGGCATATTTAGCTCCTCTGTACATTTTTTTATTGGGTTCTTTGCTTTCTTTTGTTTGTGGCTTCTTTTTAGATCTTTGATACTAGCCCCTTGTCAGATGTATTGTGTGCAAATATTTTCTCCCATTCAGTAGAGTGTTTTTTTGCTTTAGCAATAGTTTCTTTATTGTGAAGAAATGTGTTCCTTGTTATCTAAGCATTAGTATTTATCTACATCTTAGTATTTTACAACTTGGAGCTGAGCCTCAGACATGATGAGAATTAAATAATTTTATCTTCAAATTTTTGAATGAATAATTGAGTGAGTAAAAGAGATCAGATATATGTTCTTCATTACTTGTCTGTTGGGTTTATGGAAGGACCATTTACTGCAATAGGGAAGAAAAAGATAAAAAATAAAGATTTAGACATAGATGTAATCAAGATTTCAATTAGAAATATTTTTAGGCTTCTGATGGTATAGAAATAGAAATAAATAGTCCTAGAGATATGTCCCACTTGTGTATTTATGTTGCCTAAATGACATATGTTACCTCTGTATGTTGCTCCACTATGTTACCTTACATGACAAAAAGGATTTTGTTGATGTGATTAAAGCCAAGAACCTTGACATGGGAAGATGATTCTGGATTCTTCAGGTGGACCCAATGCAGACACTGGAAGAGGGTAGGAGAGGAATGGGTCAGAGAGGCAAGATAGATAAAAAGGAGGAGATTCAAAAAGTATAAGAGACTCTCAACTTATGACTTCTGGCTTTGAACATGTAGGAACATGGTCAAAGGAATATGGGTGGCCTCTAGCGACTGGGGATGGTTCTCATGTGACAACTAATAAGAAAGTTGGACTCTAAATCTTACCACCTCAGCAAACTATAGAGTCAATGACTCACATAAGTAAGATAGATCTTCCCTGATTACCTACAGAAATGAACTTCTGATCTATGCAACTTTATTTATATTTAAAATATAAATAATAAAGGTATATCAGGTGCTAAATTTGTGTTAATTTTCAATGGCAACAATAGAATATCAATCTAAACATATGTGAAGTTTTCTAATGGAAATATAAAGTAAGAGGCTGGACATAAATAGAACAAAACATGCAATACTCACCCCCTCTATGCACGTATACCCATATGGGCGTGTATACTCACACAGCCACATTAGTCATTTTGAATTATTCTATCATAATCTTTAGGTGAACAAAAAATATATTGAGCAGGAATGATTAAATTATTGGTTATGTGTGTGATACCCCAAAGTATTGTGATCTTAAGAACTCCCATAAAACAGTCATTGAAAAGGTCACTTAAATTTTCAGGAGTGTTGGTCTTATGAACTAAGTCCCTTTTATATTATTTTTTAAAATTTAGTTAATCAGTGATTTCAGCCCAAAAAATAAAGGAGTTGGGGTATGAACCTCTTGTTCTTTGTTTTGTTTTTTCACTAAGATGACCATCTTGACTAATTGTAAATAATATATAAGGAAATGTCTAAGAAAAATGTAAAAGTAGAAGAAAATACATTTATGGGGACTCTTCAACTCTTTTGCATCAGATTTTCTTCTCCAGCAGACATCCCACAATAATTCTTCCAGGTTTTCTGAGGTTTAAGCCTCAAGAGGTAATGCCCTCCTGGGGGCATTTAGTTTTGATGGGCCAGAGAACAATCCTGCTATTGTGTCAGGCACTCTGCTATCCAGAAGAGTACAGCTACAAAAGTGACTTTCACATCTTGGAGTTTATTGTTGCAGACGTGACTCAGGCCTCAGCAGCCCCACTCTGAATGCTTCACCGATTTCCCTGAAGCTGTCTCAAATATTCTATTAAATACATCGTATTCTAGGCTTTGTGGACATTAAGTGATTATTATGTCCCTGGCTCATAATGCATCCAAATGTCTGTCTTGTTTCCCTCTTTCCCTAAGCAACACTTTGGGGCATGATCATAGCATATTTCAGGCTTTAAAAGATTTATTTTGGCTTTTTTGAAGAACAAAATCATAGAGCTATTTAAACATAAAATTCGCAGAATTTGATAGCAAGAGGTCATAATTTATATCACAATTAATAAGAATTTTATATGAGATTCTCATAACACTCAATTAGAAAAGTATTTATTGAAAATTTACTCATTTCATGCAAAGTGATTTCATATGACAACATTTTCAGTTAATATGCACTTATTATAACATCAACAGTTCTCAGTTATGACTTGGAGATTTGTATTCTATCCCATTGCTGTGGTTTTGTGGTTACTATATTTTTATTCTCAATTGGATTTAGTTTCGTATCTTAGTTCCATGTATTCATTTATTCTAACATTTGTATATTCCACATACACGTGTTAAGTATTTTTTTTAAGATTTATTTATTTATACAAGCACTGAATACAGTCAGAGGCTCAGGAGGGTGAAAGAATTCACCAGAGTCAGAGCGGAGAGCAGAGCAGGCAGACCGACGAAGTACACTGCTGAGGGGAGCAACGGGCGGCAGGAGAGGTCTGCACGCCATGTGGGACCCTCACCCAGTGGCCAGGGATCGAACTGGCACTGCAGAGGCTACGGGCAGCTTTGCAAGCCAGCGCTCAACCACTGCGCCCCCAGGGAAGCCCTATTAAGTAGTTTTATACGAGAGGCAGTGTTCTATGAACTGGGGTACAATACATTGATTTCTTGTGTAATCCTAAGCAAGATTATTAAATTCCAAAGCCACAATTTTCTCATTTACAAAATGGTACTAATGATATTTACTCACAAGAATATTTTGAAGATAAAATGAAGTTATATAGTGCTTGAGCAAATATAACTATAAAAACAAATGTACAAAACACTTGAATAGAAAATAATATAGACTCTTACATTATTATTTAGTAGAGTGTGTTAATTTAAAGCAATATTCTCATACTTTAGAATTTAAAATGTATTAAATAAATTATATTACAAGGAAAATTCAGTATCTTTGAAATTAATTTTCTGTCCTATAATATTCTGATTGCTGATGTTATCAATGCCAATGATATTTATTTTATACTCAATTTCAATGAATATTATAAATTAGGCTGTACTGTATTTCATGTTTTAGTATTTGAATTACAATGTCATTATCTTTTTCCTTCTTAGAGAAAAAGCTATTTGCTTAGAAATATAACTTACTCATTACTCTTTTCTAACATTTATCAGCAGTAAAACAAAATGTACTAGTGAATTCCTTTGTTTTTAATTTCATTTAGGCCACAGACCCTGATGCTGGAATAAATGGCCAAGTGCACTACAGCTTGGGTAACTTCAATAATCTTTTTCGCATCACATCCAATGGGAGCATTTACACTGCAGTGAAACTTAACAGAGAAGTCAGGGACTACTATGAACTTGTTGTTGTGGCAACTGACGGAGCAGCACACCCTCGTCATTCAACTCTCACTCTTGCCATCAAGGTTTTGGATATTGATGATAATAGTCCTGTGTTCACCAATTCAACATATACTGTTGTTGTGGAAGAGAATCTGCCAGCTGGGACATCCTTCCTTCAAATAGAGGTGTGTGAGAGAAGCATTAGTGTAATTAATTCTGTATTATAAAATTTGCCATTAATGTTGTTTTAACAGGTTTATCAAATAAATAACACACATCCAGATAAATCTTAATTTCAGATAAACAAGTAACTTTTTAATATAAATATCTCAAATATTGCATATTATATGTTAGCCAACAACCATACTTTAGAAATATGCAAAAAATAATGGGTTAAAATATGCATTTGGAAGAAAATAAATTGCAATTTTAATAGATTTTGACTTAAAAAAGTAATATTATATATTTATTATCACAATTGACAAAATAATAGTTTGTAAAGAATGTCTTAAACTCTGGTCTTGTATCTTCGAAGGACTCAATATTGAATTTTCATGTGCATTCTATAAAATTTATCTTTGTGCTCACACAGTACCAAATAAATATTTATATATTTACATATGCACATATGAGGAGGTAGCAAGATGCATATATGCAAATATGTGTACTCACATACATATGTATAGATTTGCCCTGTATTTAGAAAACTGAAATATTGCTTCACCCATTATTCCATATACTTTCAGTAGACGACTGACATCCTTTCAGAGGTATAAATCTCCTTGCTAATAGTGTTTCCATACCTAAGTTTCTTATTTCATTTCTTTAATATCACCAGCAGTTCTGAACATTCTGATTTAGTAGGCTAGGTTTACTCAGAAATACACATTTAAAGCAAATATATCTATCTATGTATGTATGTGTATATATACAAAATTGAATATTATTCAGAGATCAAAATAGATAAACTCGTGTCATTTGCAGCAACATGGATAGAGCTAGAATGGATTATGCTCCACAAAATAAACCAGAAGAAAAAAGAAAAATATTGGATGGTTTCACTTTCAAGGGGGATACAGGGAAACCAAATGAGGGATCAGGGGGAAAAAAATAATATATAAATAAATGACAAAATTAGCAGGTAACTATAAATCAAAGACATTCTACAAGGGAGGGGGAAGTAGAACATCAAAACAAGGGAGAGAAGAGCACAAGAAACCACGGTGATGGTTCATGGGGGAAGTGGTGAAGGGAATGTTATTGGGAATGCATCTGAAAAGAGAACATACACGCATCATTGTACAAAAATGAACAATGATATAATATATATATAAACACACATATATAAATAAAAATAAAGCAAATACTCTAATTCTGAGTAATGATAGACAGCATAGACATAAGTCTATGTTTTAACAGTAATTTTAGTTGTGATGTTGACTGGAGATTGACTCAAGTTTGCATAGGATATGTTTGCTTCATGCACATGCTAAAGAGCAGATCTTCCCCATTCCATTGTTTCTTCATTTCATTCCCATTATCAGAATTGCCTTTGCCATTTTGTACTACTGGATGAGATCCTTATTCTCTAAGACTTCTATAAAAATGTGTTCTTTTAATTAGACTATATCACTCACAAAACTATTTTTTCTCTGAATCATGTATTTTAGCCATCTTTAATATCATGCTCCCCAATGTAAAAACATTATTTCCATAAGTTTTGAGTTCCTCTATTTAGCTAACACCATTGATATAATCATTGTTCTGTTTAACTTGTTACAGGCCAAAGATGTTGACCTTGGAGCAAATGTGTCTTATCGGATAAGAAGTCCAGAAGTGAAGCACATTTTTGCACTACATCCCTTTACAGGAGAACTCTCCCTTTTAAGGAGTTTGGATTATGAGTCATTTCCAGATCAGCAAGCAACTATCACTTTTCTAGTGGAGGCCTTTGATATTTATGGAACAATGCCACCTGGTATTGCTACTGTCACCATAATAGTAAAGGTAAGGGATATAGATGACTTCTGGTGACCTACTTTGCAATATCTACATGCCATTTCTGTTTTTTATATTATACCTGTAATTTGGAGACAATGACTCATAATATCATATTGGTACCTGGCTGCAAACATAGATTTTTGTTAATATGACGTGTTTATGAAGAACTGAGAAATTATTGTTCAAATAAAAAGATATATTTTGAAGAGCACTGAACAGAGTTCTATAATTATGGGTGCCTGAGTCTGTCAGCTCTGTGACTTCAGGCAAGTCATATTTTCTCTGGACTAGAGTTTAATCCAAAATCCACAATGCATGGATAATAACTCCATCCAAATTCTTCAGTATAAAATTTTGTTTAAAAATATTAGAGTTCTAAGGCTCTAGAACTAATTAGTTTAGCTTAATTTGTAACCTAAGATTCTAGAATGAAATAAACTTTGGAATCAGAGGGAATTGGGTTTAAATTCTGCCCTTGGGAACTATGTTAAACTTCTGAATTGGTTATTTGTTTATTGTAATACCGTGTACCAAATGACTATAAGACCATGCCATCTTCAACTTTTTAGGTTTCTAGTAATATTTAAGGTGCATAATCTATCAAAGATATTGAGATTATTTAGCTTTCTCTCACAATGGATATGGCTGATAATGGGGAATGTGTAAAACTCATAAACTCTGATTTACTGTCTGGATTTGGTTTAGATTTATTTGCCTGGATATTTTTTTATGGAACAAGTTATTGGAGTCAAGTATGATCCCAAAATATCACCTAGACAAGCAAAGTATATACTAAGCAAACCTCATTTTATACCTGGAATGCAATTCTCTAAAAATGCATCCCATATTCCCTGAACACCTTTAATTTTAATATAGAGCAATTACTCAAGGTTTCTACATCAGCACATCGGAAGGAGTTACTAATAGGTGGGCTCATTCCTTCTCCAGGAATCAGTAAGTTTTGATCTAATTTTTGTTACTTCAGTTGTTTTATTTAGAGAAGTCAAACCACTTCATTTTTCAAGTTTCCCTAATACAAAATTATTTTTAATTTATTGTATTTTTATAATAAAACAATATTTAATTTTACGTATTTTCAGGATGATTATTTTCTTTTTCAAAGTAATATAATAAAATTTGCAAAATATTTCTCCAAATACTCTAGTATTATTTAACTCTATTGATTTCAGGAGGCCCCATAAAAATAGCTTGGAAAAAATAAAAATCACTTGCTTGCTTGTTTGTTTTGAAGGGAAGAATAGAGTACAATTTTCTTTTCTCCAAAAATGTCAGTCTTTCCTAATCTTGCTAATTTTTCTGCTGTTGTCCCATGTACTTGAAATATAGACAAACTGCTTTGCTGATAACATAATTGCATGGTATTTACTAAGAGATATATTTAACCAAAACAGTCAACATGAAAATATCTTGATGATCTCTCTGTGAAAATATGCAGAAACAGAAGAATTTAATTTTATAAAGAACAAAATAAAAATCCAGTGCTTAATATCTGTCTAATCCATCAACCATTTAAAATTGGACTGAGAATCTGAAAATTCAAGAAATATTTGGAAAGGAAAATATTTTCATAATAGAAAAAATAAAATTTTATCACAAACACCTGAAAAGTACATTCTTACTGACAAATGTCAAGCATCCAAAACAAAAGCAATTATGATAATACAACTAATATGTATTTTTGTTGCAAAGTCTTTGTAGAATAGTCATATACAAGTCCTTTATCATTGTACATTTATTAAGTATATAAAATAATTGAAAGAGTTGGACAAAGTCAAACAGAAGACGCACCCTAGAAATCTGAATATAAAAATAAGGTTAATGGAGAAGGGGGCCATTGGAGAGCAAAGGTGAAAGAGGTTACAATGGACAGAGTTGGAGGACTGTGGGTGCCATGGTGGTGAGTATAGTGTGGTAATATGCATCTGAAGTGGACTCCTGTGTCTCTGAATCATGTAGAGTACTGTAAACCAGTCTTACCTTGATGAAAGAATATCTCTGGAATATAAGCATATAATTTAAAACAGTTTAAAATATAAAATTCAGAGAAAACCTGCCCTTACAAAATGAGTTGTAATATGGAAAATATACAGAAACAAAGGATATGTTTTCTATCAGAAGCCAAAAGCAGAATATACATTAGACAAGTTGAAATATGCAAATGATATGCAATACTGGGCAGCAGTAAAACAAATGTAAAGAACTCGCCTAGGATAGACAGATGACTTAAGTCATTTTATTGATTGCAATTTTAAAGAGAATGACTGCATAGACATAGAAGAGAAAATGACTGGATTCACCCTGTTTATGTTTGCATGTCCTTGATGGTGCAAAATGAAAATAGGCAGGGGTAGGTGGAAGGATCAGAAATGAAAGACTATCCACAAAGGCCAAGGATGTTGGAAATACAGAGAGTCTAGAAGATAGAGCTAGCATTTGCATCATTCAGAGAGGTTTCCTTCTGCAGACAAAAACGAACTGTTCCTATAGCCACAGAATATAGAAAATAAGATAAATTTTCTAGACAGGAACTCTGTCTAGGTCATCTTACCCTGTACTAAATACCAAGGAGGCTTTTGCCAAACCATGGACACATGACAGGTGGCAATGTGTCACTGATGTGTCACCATGGTGATAGCATTGGTAGAGTCCTGGTTTTGAGTTGGCCACTCAAATCAGAAACTCTGGACATTTCAAGATTCATAGCATCTTTCCATCCTTTTCTCTGATGGGATGAGATTGAATAAAAGATGGTTTCAACACATCAGCCTGTGATCTAACAGACTGATCATTATTTATTACAACTTTAGATTTTTCTTTGAGACTTCTCCTCAGTGTGATACTGAGACATCTCCTCAGTGTGATACTAATGAGACTCATTGGTATTTGTGTCAAAACATAACTCTGATAATATTTGCATCAGGGATAGACAACCCCCAAGAATTGAGAATAGTTTCAAAATCAAAACTAAAGACAAAATAAAACAAATATAAATTTAGTCAGATAATTAAGATTATATTATTGGTTTTATTTATTTTCAAAGGGGTTTAGATAACTGTGGTTTCCATTTAAGAGAGCCCCATGCAAAACTGAAAAAGATTTGCTGGGCTGAATATGACCCTGTGTGCAGGGCCCCAAGAGAAGGATGACAGATGACCAAGGGAGAATAAAAAACAGAAGTCAAATATTATGAAATACAGCAACTGGGGGAACAAATAAAGAGTGTCTGGAATAGAAAGCAGACTGGTATCGGGATATATCAACTGTATGGTCTGCCAAGAAAAGGGGTATCAGCTCCATAAACATTAAGGGATTTTAGAGAGTAGGGTAGCCAACATTTCTACGTGGTAGTGTTTACAGTAGTAATACTACAGTAGTAACTGAAGTCATTCCTCACTGGTGCACCCCATCTTTGTCTCCTGATAGAGCATGCATCAAAGTTTCAAATGAGCATAGCGTTCACTATATTTTCATCTTTTTTAACATTATTAAAGTATAACCAATGATTATTTTCTAATCAGAAACATCTCTTGTCCAAAACAATTTTCCCCATGATTTCAGAAAATCTATTTTTTAATTAATGAATTTATTTTAATTATTTTTATTGTTTTATATATTTTTATTGTTTTATATATTTTACACCATTTTTCATTTTTCCACAATATATGCATTTTAATGTTGGTTATAGTCCCCATACAATTCCCACCCCCTTTTAAATTGAAGTAAAATTGCATTATAATATTATATAAGTTTTAGATATGCATCATTGAGAATCAAAATGTGTATATTACATTAAGTTCACCACCAAGGTCCAATTCTGTATTTCACCATGCCCTTGTCCCCTTTTACCCAATTTATCAGTTCCCATTCCCTTTTGGTAATTGATCTTTTAGTTCATAAGTTTATTTTTGTCTTACTTGTTTTCTTTATATACCACTTATATGCACATATGAGTGAGCTCAAAGTGTTGTTGTTGTTTTTGTTGTTGTTTCATCTGGTTTATTTTACTAAACAAAATGCTCTGTAGGTCCACCCAAAGTATTGCAAATGGCATGATTTCATCTTTTTCTAACTGAGTAATATTTTTTTATAACTCAGTACTGTTCCATTTTGTATATATACCACATCTTCTTTACCCATTTATCTGTCATTGGGCACTTACATTGTTTATAGTTCTTGACTATTGTAAATAGTGCCAAAATAAACTTGACGTGCATATTTTACTTCAAATTAGTGGTTGTGTATTGTATTTATGAAATGAGATAACTGGTTCACATAGAATTTCTCATTTTAATTATTTTGAGGAATATGTATACTCCTTTCCATAATGACTACACCAAATTACATTTCCACCAACAGTATAAGGTTCCTTTCTCTTCATATCCTCCCCAATACTTGTTTCATTTTCTTTAGATAATTGCCTTTCTCACAGATGTGAGTTGATATCTAATTTTTATTATTTCTCAAATACTATGTGATGATAATGAACATCTTTTCACATGCCTATTGGCAATCTGTATATCTTCTTTGAAGAAATGTCTATTCCAATCCATTGTCCAGTAATTTAATCAGGTTTTTCTTGTTGAGTTTTAAGAGTTCTTGGTATATTTTGTATATTAACACTTTGTCAGATAAATAATGTGAGAATATATTCTCCTATTCAGTGGGATGTCATTTTGTTTTGATTCAAATTTCTTTCACAGTGTACCTTTTTAGTTTGATATGGTCTCATTTGTTTCAAAATTGCATTCAATCCCTTTCCTTTACTTCTTATGGAAAAGCCACCATTAATTTGTAATCACAGTAGTAAGATCCTGTTCTCCTGATGGAAGACTATGGGTAATTTGGGGTGGTAGCATGCATTTGAGGTATTAATTTACACCTCTGAATTATATAATGTGTCGTAAATAATTGTTGCTGCCATAAAAAAAATTGGGGGCCAAAATATAAGTAAAATTATTTTTTTGGTCTTGAAAAATATTAATTAAAAAAAATTTCCTTAAATCTTTGCTGGTATGCCAAAGTAGAAATGGTTTCTATGATTATTTTAGATTTTAAATAATAAATAAAATAAATAAAAGTCATATTTTCTTCTTCCTAGGTAACTATATTATCAGGTACAATTTTATTTGCTTGATTCATGGTAACAAATTTTAAGTTTTCCAGTACAACATACATTTTTAAGAAGAGTTTGGCTGGGTTATAGTTGTGAGCAATCATAGCATTGGGAATAGTATTTGGAAACATGAAAGCTAATCTTTGTACAGAATAACAAAAATAATAGCAGATGAAAACAAACTGGTAGGGATCTTAATGATAAAATTGTTAACAAGACAAAAATGAAGTTTTTTTTTTGTTTTTTTTTTTTTTTTTTTGTTTTTTTGCCAATACTACCCTCTAGTGGAATAGTGGAAAGTTAAAGAGGACTTGTTTTTGTAGAATATAGCATACACTAATTTGTTACATAATGGTGCATTTGTACAGAATCAGATTTATGAAAATATTTCTTCAGTCATCCTTGGAGAATAAATTAATGAACTATTGATTATGCTTGTTGGCAGTGCATTTCAATATTTGTTAATATGAAACAATGCTTTGTACAAGAACAATGTGCAACTGGCTACACATTTTAGCCACAATAAAAGGTTGTAATTGCAAAATGTGTAAAATCTACCATAGTAAGAAATAACTGTATTAATTTATTCTTCATCCTGTCAATTGCAAGCAAACTAAAGACAAGAATGCTAATCTTTTGATGGCCTTCAATTATTTATAGCCTTAGATTTGTGTCTAACTAGTTTGTGAGGTCAGCTTACACAAATGCCCTGCTTGCATCCATTTAGAAGGTGAGTCAGGTAAATAATTTCCTCCTAAAAAAAGGCTGCTGTACTGTGCATGTAAGCAGCTTTTTTGATATATATGGAAAATCATTTATTATTTTTATTTCCCTTAAAGAATCAAGCTATCCAAAGTGTACCTTGACATAAGCTTTTAAATGTTTGTGTGAAGAGGACAGGGAGAAGAAATTTCATAGGAACATAGTGAGCTTATGTGACTTTAGAAAGACTTGTGCAGAAAAAACGGAGTTTTGGAATACTTTTCTAACCTTCAGAAGTTAAAATATAGGCATGCAGATTTCTACTCCTTTAATTACAAGATCCACTCATTAAATTAATTGATACTCTTAAAAAGAATATTTGCATGCAAATATGTATTTACCCCATCTAGAAACTTAAGATCAATACCCTAAACTACCCTCATTATAGAGAACCAGTGCTTCTTAAGTTCATTTACTTGTTCAGATGCTCACATTCGTAAGTATAATTCCTCTTTCAGAGGAATTGTGAATATTATATATCAAAATTGAATAAGTCATATTCCTTTTCAGTTTTGCTTGCAATTTAAGACCTCCAATTTCTTCTTGGTGTCTGTACATTGGTTCATATTCACGACTTGGAAGTCAATTCTGTTTTGAATGTAAAATCAAATTCTGTTTGATGTAATACATTAAATTATCCTAACCTCTTTGCTGAAGGAGGTGTTTATAATTAGTTAATTGGTGTGTTTCCAAGTCCATTGTACAGGGAAATTACTGTATCAGAGCAAATATCAAAGACTGTGTAGAATATCTTTTCTTCTTTTTTTCTAATAGCAAATGAGTAAAGAATGACCAGGATAATTAAATAATTATTGAAATTAGTTTTGGCTTCAACTATATTTGACCTAAAGTGCCAAAAAACTTGCATGGTATAATGATTATTTTAGAATAAGTCAGTCATGCCGTATGCATTGTTTTTGAGAGAAAAAAAAATATGCAATTCTTTATAAATATAAAACTATTGATAAATAAATGGTTTTGCTATTAGGGGACCAGATTTATTAGTTTGGTTCTACCAAAAAAGTAGGCTAACTTATTAAAGGCAAAGTCAATGATCTATCTGTGAAGTCAGTATCTTAACCTATCAAATGGCAGTTAAATGGCATTAAAGCATGGGCATCTGTTTCTGGAGTCACCACATCATCCCAGTGTTTAATGCTGGGTCATAAAAACAAGAGGAAGTTGATAAATATTTGTTGTATGAGTTGCTCACTGTTAATGAAAGATACTGTATTTTTATCACTGAATTGTGAGGTAAAAAGATACATACAAATTACTTTGAAAAATCTTAAGTCAATTAACATTGTTTTCTCTCCATAAGTACATCTACTCAGTGTCATTATAGAAGAGTGCTACCTGGAAAATATCCTTTATTCATTTTAGATTGCTAATATGTAAAATACCATCAAAGAATATTTCCAGTGTAAACTATGAAAAATTCTAATCATATCATTCTGCTAATCATATAAAGAATTTGCAGTTGCAAAAGGAACATTAAAGGGCTTTCTTAAAACAACAACAAAACAAAACAGAGCCCTGGCATTGTCTTCTGAAGTGCCATTCAAAGTAATAGAATTGAGAAGATGGAAATCTGACAGTGGCAAATGGGTTGTGTGATATGAAGAGATGGAGCTAATCTAGGAACTGTGTACCTAAACCAGTTTCTACTGAAGCACTGAACTCTTAATTGTGTTTTACAGGATATGAATGATTATCCTCCTGTATTTAGTAAACGAATCTACAAAGGCATGGTGGCTCCAGATGCCGTGAAGGGTACACCTATCACAACTGTTTATGCTGAAGATGCAGACCCTCCTGTAAGTAGAAGACATTGATTAATAATCTGAACTGTAGTGAGAAAACCTTTAACATCTATAAATGATCTAATTCCCAAGATATCACATGTGGTTTGAAACTTTTCCTCTGTTCATGCTCAGACATTCTATGTACTGTTGCCTGTGAATGCAACCGACAATATTTCCAATGATTATTATTGAGCTTAGAAAATTAGGGATATGCTTTTTGTTTCTTTCATGAGAAAGAATAGTTTATTGTTAATGTTTCTAACACAAATAATAAATATATGAGGCAATTAGCCTGCATTTGGAATTGTTATCATTTGGGTTCTTTATGTAGAACAATGTGAACTTACCTTTATGCATTTTCTTTTTCATTCATATATACCTATTTTGTTAGTAAACTGTAAATTAACATATATAATACTTATAATAAATATGTTAGACTAAAATTTTAATATTGCTTTTAGAAAATATTTAATTATTAATCAAAACTTTACCTCTTTTAAGTTTTCTCAAATTGCTTTTCCAAATAGAAGGTTTCAAGTAAAATTCTCATAATGGAAGGGAGGTGAATTTTTCATAATGTTTCCTTAAGTTATTAAAAATAGCATATAAAAGTGACAGTACTTAAATAAAAATGCCTTCCATAAATAACATGAGTGCTGTGTAATATAAATTATGCATTCTCTTAATAACCAAATGACAGAGATTTAAATTTTTTACTTTGAGTTGAGTTCTCACTGTATATCAATGTCTGGTACAGACTAGAAAAAAATAAAACTATTAAACCACTTTAGAAAAGAAAAAAAAAGAACTGAAATATATTATTAATTTATAAGTTATTTTTGCTGACACAAGTAGAATTTGTGTAATGTATATTTCATAAAAATTGAATGGTAGGGCCTCCCCGGTGGCGCAGCGATTGAGCGCGGGGTTGCGAAGCTGCCCGCGGCCTCTTCGGCACCGGTTCGATCCCTGGCTGCTCCCCGGCCACCGGAGGAGGTTCCCACATGGCACGCAGACCTCTCCTGCCACCCATTGCTCCCCTCAGCAGTGTACTTCGGTCCTTCTGCCTGCTCTGCTCTCGGCTCTGGCTCTGGTGAATTCTCTCACCCTCCCACGCTTCTGACTGTACCCAGTGCATGTATAAACAAAACAAACAAACAAACACACAAACACATAAATAAATAAATAAAACATGTCTCTATTAAAAAAAAAAAATTGAATGGTAGTAAAAACATTTTTTATCTTCTATAATGATAACCCATATAAATTGCATAGTGACTGTAAGGTTTTTAAAATTTGTAACGTTCACATGAAAGCATTGACTTAATGTGTCTTTTTCTTGAGTGCATTAAAATATCTTTGACCTACGTACTGCATGTTGGAAAATATGTTAAGCAAACTTTCATAACTGTGAATACAGTAACGGAGATGGTGAATGTGAATTTGGGTGGTTGTCTATTTTTTAACTAAACTGTCACAGGTACAAAATACTTTAACATTAGACGTAACACATTTGGCTCTGTTCAACACATGTTTTGAGTACCCACTGTTAATTTTACTAACCAGCCTTGCTTTCCAGAAATTGATAGTTGTATTAGAAACATAAAACTTAAAATAGAAATTGTAACACACTGTAATGAATGAATATAAGCAAATCAAGCAACTAATAATATCCACATTTCTATGAAATTTTCAGTATTGCACAATTTAAGATAGATTTAAATTTAATGGCATTTATGATGAGAGATTAACTATAGGATTGCTGCTTACTCTGTGTGAGCTAGACCTCAAGGCTTTAGCATTGATGGCACAATTCTCACTTCTCTTTTGGAACCTGTGACCTTGGTACTTGGGTTGATACTCAGATCACCCCACCTGTGGAACAGATGTTTTTCGCTCTATTGTCTGTTCAGTAAAGAAATTAAAATACACAAGAGTATTTTTCTAGAAAGAAGCACTTGTTTTTATAACTTGAAACTCTTTTATAGAAACTTACCAGGCTTGAGTTCCATATTTCTTTGGAAGAAGCCTTTAGCTTTGCATTCTCAGTAATAGCTTTTTTAAAAAGTTTTTTAAGAGCCTTTTACTGACTACTTCTTAAAAAGGTCTATGAATATAAAGTGCATCATATGCTTCCATCACTCATTCAAACTACAGCATGCTTATTACATTTGCAGTATTGCTTTTCTGCTAAGTAACAATTAAATGTCCAACTGTTCTGCAGCAGTTCTTTTCCGCTACTTTAGTAAGGCATTTTCTGAGGTAACATTGTTTTATAACACATTGTTATTAACGCTAAATCTGGCTTTCTGGAGATGAAAAGTAGATATGAGTCATTCAGTTGGAATACTGAGCATGTTTGTTTCAGTTATGGAATATATTTTTTTATCAGATTCTGTTTTGATAATTGAAACACTAGCAATCTTTTGGTGTAATTAATATTTAACATTGAGTTTTAAAATTATTGAGGCAAGTTGGGTCCCTAAATTAGCATACTAGCAATTTGACTGAACTTACAACAATATGGAATAAAAGCTCAATTCCATGAAAATTTTCAGAAGATAAATATTGCAATATATAACTTTCCCAAAAACATATGATTGACTTTTTACTTTATTTTATATTGGTGTTATAAATACAAGGTATTTCCTAAAAGGTTTGCTAATTGTTTTCTAATCTGTTACTCTAATAGACATTCATTAATTAGAAGAAAGTATTTTCATTTTATATTCTACAAGGCTCTTTTGTCAGTTCTACCCCCTTGAGGCTATAAATATCTATGATGAAGTGTTTAATGATCTCTTTTCCAAACAAATTGGTAAGGTTTTTGTGGGCAGGAATCAAAATTTATCCCAGTTTGTATCTTGAATTTCGGTCTGTTTGGAAACATTTGCCAAATAGTTGAACTAATTAATTAATTAATGATTATTTCTGTGTTCCTCAGGATTGACAAAATGTGCCTATTCCTCAGCAATTTAATTATTTATGATTGTGGGGAAATTTCTTAATGTCTCCAAGCCTAAGGCTCACCTTGGCCATTTGAGTGCAATGAGATTTTAATAAGCTTCTCCAATCAGAGCTATTTTTAATATTAGTCTTTTTAACAGTAGGAAAATAGAAAGATGCTTGTGCCCAGACCTATAATGTAGCTCTCAAGGAATAGCTGAAGTGTAAGCACTCAATCTTAAAAGAAAGAAAGGAGTAATGTTTAGTACAGCTTCTGCAACCTCAGATATTAACTATTGTAGCTACTGAGCAATAATAATTTTTATCTCTAGTGGTTGGCTAGATCTTGTTTAAGGTATCATGTTTGTTTTGAATGAGTGAGGGCCACCCATTTTAAACTAGAAAATAGCAATAACAAAATTCTTTTGAAATATCAGATGGAAAAACTGGGTACGGTCTTAAAAGTCAGAGAGACCATTGTTGTTAAAAATACATTACCTATAATGAAATGCATATTGTGCAAAACTAAATGCTCTAGAGGGAGACAAAATATCTGCCATGTGTTTTTTTTTTCCCAATGACTTACTGCTGTCTTACTTTTGTGACAACATTATCATTATTTATTTCACAAGAGACGTGGCTAGTGAAAGACTGATCCTTTTGTATATTAAAAATGCTAACCTTTTTTTTTCTTCTGCTCACCAGAGACATTTCACTCCTAACTTTCACAAAACAAAACTTAAAGTGTAATTTCCATTTGCGTAATTCTTATTCTGTGTGAAACTACAGACCAAATCCCATGATATACTATCTCTCTTTGTGGGGAGGATAAACACCTGCCAGAATGGTGTTCTATGTAAGCACATGGACAGAGACTAATTGGGATAAATAAATGAAGTTCACATTTTGCTCATTTCCAAGAAAGTGAAGTATGGGGAACCCATGAAGGTTTACATTTTAATTTTCCTATCAGTCTTTCCATTTACTGTATTTTAGGAATGTTTATATATTTCTTGTTTAAAGTAAAGCAGCTAGAACATGTTTAATAATAGCAATTTTGGCAAACTCTTAGTTGCACAAATATTCAAGATTTAGACATTTAAAACTTATTTCTAAGGTTCTGATATTTATTTTTTAAAATATGTGTGCTCCATAAACAAATGTAAGTTCTCAATAACAATTGGTTTCAAAACCAGTGAGCATTCTCCCTGTGCCTTTTTATAAAAAGAATGTATTTTTATAAAGTGAGAACAATTATAAGTGCAAGATTATCTGTTATGTTTGTTGAGATTTTGAGAGCACTGCTAGCCTTTCAGAATTCAGACATGCTACCTAAGGAATTTCTTCTAAGGTATTTTTGCACTTGTTTTTAACAGCCTTCTCAATCATTCAAGGGGACTTTTCTTTAAAGTATTAAAAAAAGGTCAGTTTCTCTTTTTTTGGTGAAGACTTTATGCTTTATTAAAATGTTACATTATCTCCAAATATCACCAAATAATTATGCCCATCTTCTCAAAAATTTTAACCCTCCCAATAGAAGGGAGGGTTGCAATCTGTTAGCAAAGGGTGTAACTTTAAAAATTAAGCTACAATTGTCTTTATCCATGATTTGCTATTGCCTACTTTGTGAGCAGTCTTTAAACTATTCAGGACCAGAAGTGTTATAAGATTACATTTTTAACTTTAGATAACATTGCTGTTCTGTATCATTTCCCAGTGATTTCTCTGCAGATCTGTTTATCATGATTCAACACATACTGGCTATGTCATTATGCTATATTGATTTAGGTTATTGCTAGCAATATAGCAGAAATCCTGTTTTTTTTTTTTTTTTTTTTTTAATATTAAATTTTATTTTTATATTCCCCATACAATTGCAAATGCCCCATTCTGACCCCAATCCTTCCCCTCCCGCCCCCCACCCCCCAAAAAGTGTCTCTGGTTCATAGTTTTTGTTGATTTTGATTTTCACTTTCTTATATTCATTTTCCTGGTCCCTTATTTAAGTTTTCTAGATTCCTGCTATGAGTGAGACCATCCGGTATTTTTCTTTTTCTTTTTGGCTT